ATGAATAGAATAAACAGATAATTCTTAGTGTTCATCTATTCCGTAAATGTTCCAAGGCCGCTCGTGACCATGAGCACGGCTGATATACCAGTTTTACACTCTGCAGAGGTTGTACACTTTCACTGTGAGTCGTGATACCCATATGCCCGGGTTAATTACTCTCAAAACACTTCCAAGGTGAGCAGGCAGGGGTCACTACGAAGCCTTTCAAAGGTTCGTCTAACAAGTTAGAGCCCTTAGATTCACTCGACAAACAGATATAGGAATCCCCTGTCCAATGGCACAATTTCATCGCAGCTATACACATAAGAGTAGAGGCTGTCCTATACCCGATTCATCAAGCCATTCTTACGTCGATGAAGGTAACCGCTAACAAGCTAGAAAAGATCCTCATACTGAGCTAAAGCTAGAGCCATATAGCCCTCACCGTTGTACTATAAGTCCTAGATGATCACTTATAGATAAGTACTTAGGGAGAGGAATCTGAAGCATTTAGAAAGTAGCTAAATACTCCAGCCCCCTATTTCTAAGTAGTTAAAAAGTCATATTTTAATGTTTATTGCATATACCATTAGTCAAGTTAAAAGATCATGGTTTAATTGAGCACTAGCAGAGCTACCCAATGCATATCTCGTATGTGACAAGGTAAAAATTTAATTCTAGGGAATCCCTATCAAGACGACACATGCAACATGAATTTAATATATTAAAGTAAATAGGAAATAAGGATGATCCCAATGTATACTTGCCTTGAGAAAAGTACTCCTGCTGATCCGGCACGTCAAAGTAATACTCTTGGTCCCCCACGAATTGCTCACCGTCCATACTCGATAATCACAGCAACAAGCATCCAGAAGCAATCATGCATAGCAAATAAAAGCTATAGATTAGAATGTACACCAACAGAAAAAAAAATCAAGATGAAAAGTTTGGAAAACGAATCTACGTCTCGCTACGAACACACAGACATGAAGATCACAAAAATCGGAGCTAAAACAAAGAAGTTATGGATTAAACAGGATTTCCTTTAGTGAAATAATAGATTAAATCTAACATCGAATTTTAAAAGTTGAAAACCTACTTAACAGTAGTATGAACATGTAGATTATAGAATTACGAACCTAACACAAGTTGAACGGATCAATTCGGAGTTAAAATAGAGATTTTATGGCTAAAACAAATCTAGTGGCAAAACTATAAATAGCTAAAAACATATTTTGGATCTAAACCGATGAAACTATGCTTTTCAAAGAAGAAAACGTATTCTTGAAAGGTGCTATAGACTGCGGGTTCTATAAACAAAAATCCGAGGGTCTCTTTCGAAAGAAAGACACGGACTGCGGGTTAAGACTTAAATTGTTGTTAGGGGTTTTTTGCAAATCTCACAGCGAAGAGGTATCCTTCAATATGGGCCGTTGGATTAGATGCGGGCGACTATGATTGGATCGGGCAGTGTAGGTGGCCGGCGGCGAGCTTATTTGCGGTGGCGCCATGGCCAGTACGGCGGAGCTCAACACATCTAAGCCTACAGTCCACCATTTGACGAACCGGATACATGGGGAGAAAGAGGGGGCGACGGTGGACTCACCTCGCGTTTCCTCGGCGGTAGAGAAAGAGCGGAACAGGCACAGGGCTCAACGAAGCGGCGGTGGCTCTTCAAGCTCGTGGCGGCGCTGATGTAGGGCACGGGGCGGCTGCGGCTTGCTTCCAAACGCGATAGGGAGAGCGGCGGGCGCAGCTTCGGTATTTAAGATGCTGGGCAACGTGGGGAGCACGCCACCACAAGGACTTGTGGTGGGGACGGACACGGTCATGGCGGCGACGGAGATGTGTCCGGCTTGGACACGACGCAAGGAGGAAGACGGCTAGCTGACTGGTGGGGCAAGGTGGTCAGCGTCTCAGAGAGGGAGGGGAAGCAGGCGCGGCGCGTCTGGCTAGGCCGGGGCGCACGCTGCTGGGCCTTCGGCGAAGCTGGGCCGTGCGGGAGGAGCGGGGCGCGGGAGGGAGTGAGGCAGGCCGACGTTGGAACTGGGCCAACAAGCCAAATAGGGAGAGAGGGAAGAGAAGTATTTTCTTTTTCTTTTCTAATTTCCACCCAAATTTTGAATGCAAATTCAAATCATTTTGAAATGTAATTTCAAACCACACAATACAAGAAAACAATATGCAGTAGCATGAATGCACATACATGATTGTAACCTTATATTTGATTTTATTTTTAATAAAATTATTATTTTCCTAAATTCAAATGCCCACAAAAATGCATAATAAATCAAATTCCACTTTTTTAAAATATTGCAAATTTTAGGGTGTTACAAAAGCTCCTTGTACTGAACTAAAGCCAAAACCATATAGCATTTATGGTTGTACTGTAAGTCCCGGATTTTGCTGATAGATAAATCCTTAAGATTTCATGTTGTTAAAAATCATATTTTAAACATCATTGCATATGCCATTAGCCAATATTACAGAGCTTTCATCATTAAGTAGAGCACTAGCAAAACTACCCATATGCATAAAACCCTATAGGTATCAAGAAAAAAGGTAACAAAAGTATACTAGGTAAGGTCCTTAATGTTTCATGGTATTGGACACATGCACATGAAAAGATGATTATGATGTTATTAGATAACAAGAAGCCTCATATTATACTTGCCTTTTGCACTTTCTCAAAACTTTCTCAGACATTAGCATATGGTCAACACCTTCTAGTCTTCAGCGCTCACAGACAGCTCTTCTTCTACTCGCAGATCGAGGCAACCAAGCACACCAGCAAACATACAAACAACAAATAGAAGCAACTAAGAATAGTACACCACATGAGAGAAAACAATGTACTAAAAGAGAACTAACTGCTACGGTCACAAGAAAGCAAGAGACACCGATAACAAAACCATCGTTAAAAAGAAACGACTATCGGGAGTTTTATATTTATAAAAGAAACAACTACAAACTTGATTTATCTTAATTAATCAAAACTATGAAATGTTTATTATTTCATATTAGTCAAGCTATATTTTAATTTAGAAACTGAGTTAAACAAATCATAATTTATTTATAAATATTTTGATATCGATATCATTTATGCCAATTGAACTTTAACTTGTAGAAACAAAGTTACATGTGAGAGCACCTATACGAACTTAATATACATGTTTAAACTAAGCAGATTATAAATTAGAAACTGTTTCGTTGCAGTTAATCAAGTTAACAGTGGATATGGAAAAGGTGAACGTTAAACCATGTGTTGCTTTTAATTAGAAAATATTTACGTGCACATAAAAAAATATTATTTAATTATTAACACATAAACGGGTGACATAAAAAACATCAACACTAACACGTAGATTACTTTATTAGGAACTTGTGAGTGCAAGAATATTGGTACACAGACTAAATGGATTGTCCATGTAGTGAGAGAATATATTCAGGAGAGATGAATTTTCTTGAATTGAGGAATATACAGAGAATGATGATTTGGCACCGTTCGCGTGCCTTTAAACCCGACTTGATCCGCTTCTTTTTTCATCTGGAACAGTGTTTTCCTCTCACAAATGATGATTATGCATGAATCACATAAGCATGACATCAGCATAATCTTTAATCAATAAAATAATGCACCAGGAGATGTGCGTCTCACCTTTAATCAGGCATGCATGACGCTTGTTACTGTGTCAAGGCGATGGAAGAAATAACATCTGTTTCTGCTGTTTGGACAGGAACTGGGTCGCCGTGATTCGCATCTACTGAACATGAAGCATCACGGTGTGCAAATAAACTTGCATGGCAGAGCGGTAGGTGCTCGATGCCGTTCCACAGGAGATAGAAAAATGTCATCATGGAGTTCGGCTGGGACTAGCAAAACAAGCACAGAATTGCTGCTCAGACTAACTGAAGAGAGAAGAGAAAGAGATAGGAACCATATGAATATTCAGTGCTCACCGATAGCAAACAACGGAAGGCCGGAGTTCTGCAACTGCAAGGGATGGTGGAGCACAGCGCAGGATGGACGGTGGCTGGACTTGCAGATGGAGAACGGCCTATGGTGTTTCCTGTGGAGTAGATGATCAGGCCACGCGACGATGCTTATGAGGTCTGAACAGTTTCCAAGCCAACCTCTAGCGATGCTCCCGGCCGGTGGCTGCGTCCTTCACGGCACCTTCTAAACGGCTTCTCCAGTGCAGTTTGTGCAGATTTCGACGACGGCCGGCGGCAGCGCATGAACAAAGTAGGGCACATACGAAGCAATCTCGATGTTGGAAAAGACTGGGCGCTGGCGGCGGCAGCTTGGTTTTTGTGGACCGACGTAGCCCGGCGTGTGCGCCTGTATAGTAACTTTACACGATAGTATAGGAGTTCGAGGTTGATACGTGTTAAGTTCCTGCCAGCAGAGATGGATTAGGTCGAGAGCAACACGGCCACGGGGATTTGGCATGGCTGGGCATATGGAAGGCATCAGGTCTGAGATTCCGGCAGGTGATCGGGAGATTGGATTAATTCCGATCCTGATACAAACTCAAGGAGAAGTAGAAAATTAAAGATCGCAACATGTGGAACCCAAATTAAATATTTGAGGCTCATGAAAAGAATTTTTATTTGAGCATCTAGAAATTAGATTATTCTCCTGGAGAAGACGAAAAAGCTTTAGAAGAATCCAAATTTTCACGGATGCTGATAGAAATAAATTGATAGATGATGAACTCAAAGGAGTGATTTAAAGTACACGGACGAAATATTTTAAGAACCTATGAATCTCCTACAACTAAAAAGAATAAAAGTAAGACAATTTTTTTATGCGACTTTTTTTTCACTCCTCCTTTCCGACCGTGCGATCCTCCCCTCCTCTCGCGCGACCCCCTCGTTCCCCCGACCCCTCCTCTCTCCCACACCGACCCCTCCCCTCCTCTCCCACTCACGGACTCCTCCTCTCCTCTCCCCCACAGGACGAACCTCAGGGCAGGGCGCCGCCATAGCACTTGAGCGACAGAAGCCGCGCCCTCTCAACTTCCGCCGCTGCCACATGCCTCGACGACCTCCCCAGCTCCGGCAGCCACCTCTGGCTCGCCGGCGATGGCCGGATCTGGGTCAGGCCTCCCCTTGCGATACCGCGCGTAACCTCCCCCGTCCACTCGCGATGGAAACCTCACGTTGTACAGTCCCATCGCATCCTTGATGGTTCTTCCCACTTCCTTCCCCACGCGCCGGACCGTCTGGCGCGATTTCCCGTCCCCTCCGCCGCCTCGCTCCCCGGCGGCTGCATCGAGCTCCTCCTCTCCGGCCACTGCCTTGAGGTCCCCATCAGCCGCCGTCGCCTTCCACTCGACGACCGTCGCAGCCACCCCCAATCCGGTGCTCTCCCGATGGACTCCACCACCACCGGCCCTCGTCCCAACACCGCCACACCGGCCCCTCAAGTGCCGCAGAGGCCCCCTCCTCCACCCTCGCAGCAGGTGATGCGGCGGCATCGGCAAGGCCAACACGCGGTCCCAGATGCGGCGCAGAAGGTGGAATCCATGTGTAATGGGATCAGGTCTTGCTATGGGTTACGGTGAAGAAGGTTGATCTGTATGAGGAGGTTCTCTCTGACATTGTGCCGCTCGTAGTAGTGATCTCAGGATGGGTGGATTAGGTCTCTTCACATGATGCAATATAATTAATTCCAGTGATCTCATGCCAGTGTTTCTAGCTATTTGAAATGATAGCCTGCATCAATTTTTGGCATCCATGATTTTTGGCGTCCACCATGCAATCTGAGGGGGCCCTCTCATTATATACTCATCAGTAGAGCTGTAGAAGAACAAAGCCGAGAATTTTGGATTGGTCTTGTTCTTATGGCACTGAAATGAAACCTGTTCCATTGCATTGCTTATCCACGTTAGTGGTTGATACTTCTTCTCTTTCCATTTTTGAGAAGGCTTTGTTCTTGCATGGTGCAGAAGAAAGATGTCTTTCAGGAGCTTGATTCAGGACATGAGGGATGAGTTCGGGAGCATTTCGCGGCACAGCTTGCGGTCCAGGTCTCATTGATCCGACGGTGTCACGGGCTGTGGTTGCGGAGCTGTCGGAGATGATGGATCAGAGCTGCTGGTCGCAGCTGCCCCCCGAGCTCCTGCGAGAGATGCTGGTGAGGATCGAGGCATCGAAGAGCTGGTGGCCAGCCTGCAAGGACGTGGTGTCATGCGCTGGCGTCTGCCAGGCCTGCAGGAGCATCGTGAAGGAGGCCGTGCGCGTATCAGAGGTGTCAGGGAAGCTCATGTTCCCCATCTCGCTTAAGCAGGTCTGTGCTCTTCGATCATCCTTAATGTGCAATAGTTCCATTACCATCTTGATTCTTGATGATGCTTACTGCTTTGGAAGTTAATGGCAATAGGGTCAGTGAGAGTAATCGTTAGGCTAGGCCTCTTCCGGTCAGCAATTGTATGAATTATTAGTTTGGTGAAGTGGTTAAGAATGGAAATTCATGACTGCTGCATCATGCCTTTGTTGAATAATTGCTTGCGCTTCGTGAGTGATCCATCATTTCATTACGAACTCTTCATATTTTTTACTTAATAAGTACTCTTTGAATTGTCAGATTCCATTGATGCAGCGGATGCAAGGGATGTTTGGCAATCTGGTTCCCTACCCTTTTCAGGTAAACAATGCCTCTTTGTCTCCATTGCTTGCCAGTGTTTTACACTACAGATTAATCTGATTCCTATGGTCTACTTCGCTTGCCAGTGACATATATGGTTTTACACTACAGATTAATCTGCGGTGACATATATGTCTCTATCGCTTGCCAGTTTTTTTTTCTTGAACTATGTAGATCATGTACACAATCGCAAACAACAACACCTCTTTCTGTCTCCTTCAGTCTGTCTGTTTTTTTAATCAAATTTGCTGCCACGTTGACAAACATAATATCATATGGTAAAAAAACTTCCATTTTCTGAATATGATTTGGCAAGAGTCTTGCTTGCAGATTTGTCAAGAACCTGCTCACGGAATAAAAAAATTACGTAGATCATGTACTCTGTAATATGCTGATGTCTTGTCATTGAAGTATCTATGCTAATGTTTTTTTTTTGCAGGGATATGTGCTCCAGAATAGACCGTGCGCATTTGGCTTCAGAAAGCAAAGATTGAAGAAGAGTAAGTTCAGATGTATCTCTATTGTTTATTTTGTTATAACATTAGCATAGATACTTCAATCACAATCTGGGGCAGGGATACATTAGCATACTTCAATCACCAACAAGGGAAAGGGAAAGCACAAATCTTTATTTTTTTTGGTAACTCTGTTTTTTAAGTATCTTTGCTAATGTATAACATGACCAAGTTTTAACATTCCACCCAAACCTCCTGATTTAGCATCCAGCAAGGGGCAAGGATGGGATCCCATGCGAGCGCGAGCGCGCAAGACCCACCTGTTAGCCCTGTATGACCGATTGGGAAGTGGGAGAGGCTGTAACGGACAAATTTCAGCCTGTTCGGTTGGCTGGTTCGTTTCGTTGCTGGTTCGTGAAGAAATACTGCTGGCTGGTTTATGTGAGAGAAAAATATTGTTCCAGCTGGAAATTTACGATCGTTTACGACAAGCCACAGCCAAAGCTAAAAACTGGTGGATGGAAATTATGCGCAGATGACAGAGAAGCTTCGCTCTTCACAGTGGCAGAGATATATATGTTTTCTATATAATTCTAGACTAGAACATTAATTTATTTGTCATGTCTTGTTATTCTCTGTTGTATTACCTCAGTTTTTTAGGCACATACTACTGGACCTGTGTGCGGGCAGGGCTAGGTTGTCTTTTGTTTTAGCCCTTAATCAGGTTTGCCTCTATTGGATCAATCCAACGCATATCATATGTTGTTCCTTTTCTATGAAGGATTCTTTGATACTCCACAAAGCTACGTTGCCCTTTAGTTCACAGGAACATCAGTTGTGATTCTCGAAGGGTTGATTAAATTATTGTCCCATGGCAACGCACCATCTCATATATTCTCATTTAATTTGCGTGAATCACTACGTAAAAAATAATTTTTAGCAACGGTTCAATTTTTTTTAGAGGTGGCTGGTGATGGAGCCATTCCTACAGTGACGTGTTCGGGTGCCTAGACACCAGCCGCCCCTACAAATGGAACAGCAAGGGGCGGCTGGTGATACGAGCCGCCCCTACAAATAGGGTCAGATTTGTAGGGGCGGCTCAATCACCAGCCGCCCCTAGAGTTGCTATTTGTAGGGGCGGCTGGTGATTGAGCCGCCCCTACAAATGGGCTCTGATTTATAGGAGCGGCTCAATCACCAGCCGCCCCTACAAATAACCCACATTTAAAACAGCTGCAGCACCTTCTTCCTCCTTGGGTCACGCACTCTAGCCCGTGAAAGAAAGGTGGGGAGGCCTTGGGCACCTCCCAAAAATTGCTCTACTAAGTGAGGAAGGTTTTGGTCTCAAATTCTTTGGTGGAGAGGTTGTAGAAGGTAATAAAATGTTATTCCACACTTTTTTTTGAAGTTTTAATGGTTGGTTAGTGAGTAATTAGAGTTTTATTTTTCTCTCTCTTCTATGGTGCTTGAGCTACTTATGAAGAAAATTAGACCCAAATTTTAAATGTACTAGGGTAAATTAGGGAGGGGAACAAGATCATACCCTTATTTGGTCCATGTTTCTTAATTTTAGTGAATAATTAGTTAGTTTTATGGATGTTTCATGTGCATATGGATCTAGATCTAGGGTTTGATTTTTTTATTAATTTTGTTTTTGTAAATTTATGTTTGATGAAATTGGACTAGGGTTTGTATGAAAGATATTGGGTAAAGTATAATTGTTGCTAATTGTTGTCTTTGAAATTGTTTATTGTAATCAATAAATATGTATTTTAATTATTTATGGATAAATGGGCCATTAATTAATTTTTCTCTACCATGGTGTGTTTGTATGCTTCATGTAAATATATTAGATTTATATTCATATATATCTGAAGTATATACATTTATTCCCAAGTAATTATTAATTTGTTTCATTTTTATATATATCTGAATAAGTAGTCATTTAATGTTTGTTTTGTTGTTGTTGTAAAAGATAGAGTACAGGAACTCTTGGATGTATGGTTCGTTAAGGTTCAAGGTAGGTTTCCGTGAAGAGGTGGATAAATTTATTGAAGCCGCAAAGAAGCATGCAACGACATTAAAAGAGAATAAGGATATAATTATTTGTCCATGTAAAGATTGCAAGAACCGTATGGCATGAACAGATGTGACTATCACTATATCATATTTAATTATGCGAGGATTTGTTGAGGACTACACAGTGTGGATTCATTATGGTGAAACGGTTATTGTTAACGACGAGGATGAGGACGAATACGACGACGAAACCACAGAATCCCTGTCCCAATATTCAGCAGAGCCTGATGCACGAATGGATTTTGAGTTTGGCAATGAACAAGGTGGTGATGCTGGTGGTTGGGATGGTAACGATGAAGGTGGTGCCAATAATGATGGTGAAGCACGTGTCGGGGATGAAGATGATTTGTGTGGGGGTATTAACCCCTATACCCTTAGGGCTAAGCTTGGGCCAGCCCGGATCGATGGGTCCGGTCCATCCGAAAGACGACGCGCGGCCCAGCCAACCCGGTTGGAGTCCTGCGCAAGGAGTTAAGGCGGATTTGGCGATCAAGCAGGATCCTGGTCGGTTAGAATAGGAATCCTTATCCGGCCATATATGGCAATTGTAACTGGCTAGGATTAGTTTTCAGATCTGTAACCTGCCCCCCGGACTATATAAGGCGGGCAGGGGATCTCTCTAAAAAACATCTCGCATCAACAAACAGCAATACAATCAGACGCAGGACGTAGGTATTACGCCTTCTTGGCGGCCGAACCTAGATAAAACCTCGTGTCTGTCTTGCGTCACCGTCTTGTTTGTGGCTTGCGCATCTGTCTGTCGATAATCTACTACCTTGGGCATACCCCTAGGTAGACTGCCGACCATATTTCGTCGACAGTGGCGCGCCAGGTAGGGGGTGTGCGTACTGCTCTCCAAGAAAACAAGATGGTCATCACCTCCGGCTCCATGGCTACGCCGAACGGCCTCACGTTCACCGTCGGCCAGATCACCTGGACCACCGGCTCCGACGGCTTCATCGTCATGACCACGGAGGAGGCGTGGATTCAGTCTGCGCTGACCACTGCTTCACCTACATCGGCTACGGCTCCGACCACGATGGATCTGGCTCCGACCACGGTACATCTGGCTCCGACCATGGTACATCTGGCTCCGACCACGCCTACATCATCTTCAGCCACGCCGATGACTCGTCGTCCGCTTCCCCGCTACAAAGGGAAGCAGATCGACAACACCGACCTGCTCAACTCCATCGATCGGGTCGGCACCAAACTCGCTGAAACCCTAGCTCTGGTAAGTACGATTCAAAGTCAACCTAACGAGCAGGTAACCTCTCCCCACAACAGATCTACCCGACCAGCTCGGACCAGTCATCCTGCATGACTTGGTACAGATCTCGTGGTCTTATCTACTCCTGAAGGGCGCTCCGCTCATCGCCGGCCAGCCTCCACGACGGGTCTCCAGCTCTCCGAGTACGCAGCCTCGACGGAGAACCACCAGGTCCACCCTTACGGCCTGCGAAACGCTGCCTCCAGCTACGCGTATAACCCACAACGCTGCTTGGATCTATGTTTTATGCACCGACCTCGGCCGAAGTCGCGCGACTTCGTCAACATGATCCGGACTGAAGATTATCAGGAAGGATCCGTCCATTACATTCAAGAGGGCGACTCCACCTCCTCGTGCGGCATCGCATCTAAAGCATCTGACACACCGAGCTTCAAACATCACGAAGATGACGGCACCAAGCACGATCCGGATCCGCCGGACCACGCCCGTGGTTTTCACAATTCCCATCTTTCCCGCCAAGACGAGGGATTTGATCCATGTTGTCAAGAATGACGAACCGCGGTGGTTGGCGTAAACAGTAACAACAAAAAGACCGCGCAGGCGCTTTAATATTGACCGGTTCAATCGCCAACAAATCGAAGCCGAAGCAGACCGGAGGAGGCGCGACGATCGTGGTCCAACCACGCGACCTCAACGATGCTTTCGGCGGTGGTGGGGACAAACAAGTCTTCGGACTCCAAGTGCCAATGTAGCCGTTGCCATGGCAACAATGCAACGGCTACCCAACACCCCGGAAACCCAAGCGGTTCACGATGAAATAGAAGCCTATCTGACGGCTGCCATGGCCCAGACCGCAGAGATTGTAAATCAAGTCCGGCTCCATCCGTCTCGGTCGAGTCAAGCCATAGTCGCCGACTTCCAAGCCGCCACGACCACTCAACCCACGTGGCTCGCGCAACAACAACCCGTCGCCGACAACCATCGAGGCGGAACGGTGGCCATGACGGTGGTAACCGCCGTCGGGAGGACAACCCGTCGCGATATCCGGACGATAATCACCAAGACAACCGCGATAATCGTCGCGATAACCGCGGTCGCAGGGCTAATCCAGATGGCAATCGAGATCGCCGCGATGGCAATAACGATCTCCGCCATTACCTCGGTGGGATTTAATCGCAAGGCCGCAGATCAACCGGAGAGTCGACGATCGAGCATCCCACGAAAGCTATCGCCGTATGGAGTATGACATCGCCCACGGTCCGCCGGGTTTGAAGCGCTTTTACTCCACACCTTCGCCAAGTCATATGGCCCAAGAATTTTAAGCTCGAGAAACTTCAGAAGTATGACGGCAAGAAAAACCCGAATTATGGGTCATGCTCTCTGAAACCGCGTGCGGCAGATCAGCCATGGTCGACGAAAGCACGTCATGTCTAACTACTTCCCGATCATTGTTGGCCATGCAGGTCACCAATGGCTGGTCACACATACCGGCGAACTACTTTGATTCTTGGCAGGAGCTTAAGCAAGCCTTCATTGACAATTTCATCGCTACTTGTGAACAACCGGGCAACAAGTACGATCTGCAACGGATCCGAGATCGGAAAGATGAGCCACTGCGTGAGTACGTCCGGCGTTTCTCAGAGACGCGCATCAAGGTCCCATCAATCTCCGACAACGAGGCAATCGAGGCTTTCATCACTGGCCTCCGTTTCCATGACGCCCTAAGAGACAAGCTCCTCCGGAAGAGACCTGAGTCGGTCACAGCGCTCTTATCCACCGCTAAGAAATATGCGGATGTCGACGACGCCAAGAAGATAATTATTGAAGAAGCAGCAAGGGTTCCATGCTCTGACCACCCCTCACACCGCGATGACTACCGTGGCAACCGTGGTCGGAGCAATAGTTTTGACCGCCGCAACCAGCGCAATGACTCCCGCGACCACCGTGACCAACGTAATCAGCAGCGTAACCGCCATAACGATTACAGGAGCAAGCGTGCTTGGGAAGACGACGGCGAAGTCAATACCGTTAAAAAGGGTGTTGGATGTCGTAACTACGAAGACGACTACGCCAAAGCATTGAAGGGGCCCTGCCAGCTCCATCCTAAGTCAAACCATACCATGGAGAATTGCCGTGTTCTCAAGTCTATCTATACACGTCAACAGGCTCCGGATACATCCGACAAGCCTAACGATGTAGCAGAACAGCGCAACGAGGATAACGAAGACGATGATGCAGACCCTCGTCACAAGTACGTCAAGCCAACCAATCGCGTGCACACCATCATCGGAGGCAAAGTGTCCATCGAGACCAAGCGGGAACGCAAGCTGCTCGCCCGTGCTTGTTTGAACGTGGCCAACACCGATAACCTGCTCACCGATCCCCGGCTCCCTCCGTGGTCTCACCGCGAAATCTCTTTCAGTAGGAAGGACCAATGGGCCGCAATACCGGAGCCAGGACATTTTCCCCTGGTCCTCAATCCTTGTATCAACAAGGGTCCAGTTCGACA